AGAGTCACTTCATGAGCATTTGACCGTTTCATTTGAGTAAAACTATCCTTATATCACATACACACAGAAATGTAAAGGTATTCACGGCAACCCGTCAAAATAAAAGTTCGGTTTAACTTGGAGACATTGTGGCAGAAATATATTACTGTTGTTCAGGAGAATGTACATAATAGGCTACTACTACTACTAATAAAATTATTAAAACCTTATTTGTAAGGAATAATCATATAATATTTCTTCAATGTTTTAATTGTAATATTAAATCCCCTTTATTTTCCAAAAAAATAAAATGTGTTAAATTTTCATTATTTAAAAGATTAAATTAAATTAATGTTTTATGCCTTTAAAAATGTAAATACACAACACAGAATTTCTGAGGGGAAAAAATTTATTTAAATAAATTAAACTTGTTTTTATGCTTTTAAATAATTAGACATGCTAAAACACAGAATTTGGTAACAATAAAACATAAGGTTGGAAAAAAGAAAACATTTCATAGGACCCTAAACATGTAATTTGTGTTAAAATTTTAATAAATTGATGTTAAATTAAGTTTAATGATAATTAATTAATTACATTATAATTATTTAGACATGCTTTTTGATAAATACAATTTAATTTAACCATTAAAAAGGAGTCCAGAAAATTTTTAAAAAGCCGTAAACCTAGGGGTAGCACTGACGTTATGCAATAGATAGCCTTAAATCAAGCAGCTTTACAGTATTAAACATGAAAAAACAGATTCAGTCATTAAAGCTTGATCTAGCTCAGGACCATTTTGATTATCATAACCCTACAAGGTATTTTAAGAGAGATTATGTTGTGAATAAAATAGTTTATCCAAAAATAAAACGGCTCATCACTTACCTTTATTTTGTTTCTTATCCATATGACTTTTAGGCAGATTTTAGGCAGAATGATGTGTCATTCAGCTACTTTTTCATATAGCTAATTAAATGGTGAATAAGAGAGTTTCTCTGTCATCTCATTTTGTGTGCCAAATATATTTATTTGTATAAATTAATTGTATAACTGTAATTACATAATATGACTTTCAAAAGCTAAAGTGATTACCTTTATGTATTTGTTAGAATATGTATAACTCAATATTTTAACTAATTGTAAAAGCTGAATAATCAATAAATGTCTACTGATTAATCAGCGAAATAGTCGATGATTAGTGGATTAATCATTCTAATAATAGTTAGATTAATCGATTATCAAAATAATCGTTTGTTGCAGCCCTACCAACAATACCAATAAAGTTTATCTTAAGTTCAAAGATCATCCAAATAAAAATTAAAAAAACTATGTATGAAGTGTAATCTTCATACATGCAAAAGCTCTTTAAAATCTCTTAAACTGACATTTATGTAAAACACAATGTATCATCAACCTCTCATTCCTGACTCTCCCCAGAGAGAGGACAGATTAGTTTTCCATGACCATGCAATGGCATCTGTGAGGTCATTGTTTCAAGGTGCTCTCTGCGTTCATTCAGCTGCTGACAAGGCAATAACCACCACTAAGAACTTGCCTATTGCAAGCAAGAAAAAGCCACACATCACTGATGATCAGCTCAAACAATCGATCCTAGTATTATCCGGTAGTTTCCATTCAGGAATTCTGCAACTTATGATCTGCTTGTAATTGCAATTGTGGTGAGCAGCTGTCATTCAAGTCATGAGAACATAGAGCAATACAAGTGCAAGTAGTGTCACTTGTCAATGTATTATGCTTTCACCAAACAAGTGCCTTAAAGGGTTAGTTCACCCAAAAATTAAAATGACCCCATAATTTACTTACCCTCAAGCCATCCTAGATGTATATGACTTTCTTCTTTCAGACGAATGCAATCGGAGTTATATTAAAAAACATCCTGGCTCTTCCAAGCTTTATAATGGGAGTGGATGGTAGCCTAAAATTTGAAGTCCAAAAAATTTAACCAATTCATTATAAAAGAAGTCCACACGGCTCCGGGGGGTTAATAAAGGCCTTGTGTAAGAAAACCTA